ATCCAGAGTATCCATTCGAATAACTTTCCTGGACCGATTGCCCAAGCTTTGCCAATAGTTTCCGCAGTGCCGCGCGATCCTCATCGTCACATTCCGGTGACGGTCTCCACGCATTCTCAAGGTTTGCAAGATTTTTGGGATTCTCACCTTCCATGTAAGGCGAAGGGCCATATCCATCATAGCAGCACATGTACCGATTGTAATACAGCCCGACCTTGATACCCCTCTCCTGCTCAAATGGAATATCCGGGTACCAATTACTACAGCCGATTCGAAAGTGTCGAAGTTTTGGCAGTTTCTCTGCAAATAGATCAAAAATATCGTGCCATCGCTTCTCGAATGAACCATACAAAGTCTTATCGCCCTCGCGGCGCACCAAGGTGTCCCTAGGTATAGCACAGGCGTCCACATTCTCTTCCATCATACCAAAGTCGTAGAGGACGGCGCAGTCATCGAAGTAGATTTCCTCGAGGGTGTCGCCATGCTTCAGAATCCAGTCGATTTGGCCCTCATGGAAGAAACAGAAGTTTCCTAGTGATAGCGTCTTCAGGCGTGGAAAGAACAGACTGGAGAGGTCCAGGTGAGGGTAAAAGCCCGAGTATTCACGCGAGCAGAGCGAGAGATGTTGGAGAGACGGCGCAGCGGGACTCAGCCATGTGCTGGGCAACTCCTTGAAAAACTTGCGGATTTCCGGAGACTGATATGTTTAGAAAAAGCATCTCGATGGAGGATGGGGTGGGTTATACCTCGAGATCATGCTCAGGAGCAGCTTCATTTGTCTCGCTGGTAATGCTTAGGCGAAGGGACAGTAGGCCTGACAGGACCTTTCCCATTTTCGCAAGTGTTTGCGGATCTTTGGGGTTATCCGTTTGCAGGTTGCGAATACCAAGGTCTTGGATTGGGTGCCGTAAGGATTCGAGAAGAGAGAAGAGCTTATGCATTGCTTGGAAGCGAAATTGAGGCGTCTGGGGGAAGTCCGTTGAAAAGAGGTAATCACGAGTCGTTCTGTCTGAAGTAAACCCCTTATCGAAGCACAGAACAGCGGCGTTCAGCCGAGGCAATTCTTTCACTTGCGGAACAAGATTGTCCCAGCCTTGGGGCCATTTTTGCTCTTCTTCATCATCGTAATTCTGTGCGCATTAGTTGTTGCTTGGAGGTGGATTAAGATAATCGTACAAGACTCTCGTCCACGGTGTCTATGTAGATCTTTCGCGGAATCTGACGTAGACTGGGATTGTTCAAGATCTCTTGTAACCTGTTTTGGCTTGTCTCGCCGGGCTTCAGGTGCACAGTCCTGTAGAGCTGATCGGTGGCCAGCTGTGATATGAAACGGCAGGATTGTCGCAGCGACTTTAATGATGAACGATTCACATAAGAAAATGTGCGAGCGAGCAGCTCGCTGGGCAGATTGAGAAGGCGTGACATCTAGGCGTAGTCACAGGTAGAATTGGCAAATTGATGAGTCGAAAGGGGACATGTTTCGCTTAGCCTTAGGCTTCCATCGAGTAATGGTAGGTGGATACCCCTATTCCCTAATCGAACCACCCAATTCCTAATTGGGAATCGTCTAGTATGACCGATACAAGGATGCTATGTATTGTTACCATATCGCTGTTTTAGAGATGTTACCTTCGGTCGTCAGGTATTAATGGTGTAGCAGTGGTGGTAGAATACGCAAAGTATTGACAGTATCATTTTCTCCTGCTTACCATATAACTTTGTATAACGAGCAGGTGTAACGAACTGGTGTTGTTACCATTCGTGGATGCCTTACTCCTGTGGCATCTACTTAGGCATCCACTGCCTACATGTATCTAGTTCATCTCAGCTTCCTTCTTCTTTTCCTCAGGCTATTACTTTCGTCGAACCTGTACTGTTTCATTGCTTCGTATACTACGCTGTACGTTGATCTGTGAGCATCTGAGCATCCTCACAGCAGGAGAAGGTTGAACTATCAAATTATTTTATATTCTTTCATCTGCGTGCAAATTTTCTTTGGCGAAGTGGTAGTATTTTATCCAAAAAGCAGCCCGATCAGGCAGAAAATAAAGCTATTCGTGACTCTACGGTCGCATGGTGACTGCTATCTTGGCCACAAATACCACAACTACACATCGCTATTATACTAAATCGTTTAATCTACAATAAAAATAAAATCAGCGTATAGTTCCTATTTCAGACTAGCTCTGATAGCCTCTATACCCATATAATTATAACTGTAGCCGACCTGCGACTGTATACAACGTGCGACTGTATACAACATGCGAGTTGCGTTCCTTCTCGGGTGGCGTATGTATGGCATAGAGGAGAAACATCCAAGATGATCATTTCGAAAGATTTTGTTGTGCTTTTTGACTGGGGGTTAAGAGGGTAGAAAAAAGATGGAAGGCCTAATAATTAACCTTGAAGACGTTGCTCTTATGATATTCGTATCCGAACTCTCTCTGGCATACAGGGAGGATCAAAATTAGTTTCACCACCTACTCGTACACACAGAAAATATTCCTCAACCCCTCTTTTGAAACTTCGCTATACCTATCACGGTTAGCCTATACCCCAGCTCTTCTTGGTAGAAATTCAGGACAGGTACGAATGACAATGTAGTAATGGCGTGGGTAGAAATAACGCCGATTGCTGTCTCTTGGACGTGATCGATCATATCCCGGAATTATTTGAGAAGAAAAGTGAACCTTGGCGATGTCACACTCTTGGTGGCCCATTTGCATCTGACGGTCACCTCCTGTTGCAGGGTTCGTAACATATGAGCGACACCTCAACACCCTGGTGCGTACTACTGCCTAGGTACCTAGGCAACGGGTTTGCCACGGAATCCATCAAACGCGCCTGATATTAAGCTCTGGTTGGTAGACATCCTTGCATTTCCCGGGCCAAAATCCAAGACGCAATCACATCCAACTTTTCTAAACCCATCTTTTCTAAACCCAACTTTTCTAAACCCAACTTTTCTAAACCCAACTTTTCTAAACCCAACTTTTCTAAACCCAACTTTTCTAAACCCAACTTTTCTAAACCCAACTTTTCTCAAGCCAACTTTTCTAAACCCAACTTTTCTCAAGCCAACTTCTCTAAAGCCAACTTCTCTAAAGCCAACTTCTCTAAACCTTGCTTCTCTGAAGTAAGGCAGAGCAAGATACCTTGATTAAGAAATCGTTCTTTTTAGATACAATAGCCTGGAAAAATGTGCGGTTGGGAAGTCGGCGAAACAAGCTTGTGCCTGCTTTGCGATTGGGACTGATATTTAGAGCCCTACTCTAGGGCAGCGCTGCCTACCCTTGAACGCTAGGCTTTCTGTGTTCGGCAATATCATGTCGCTTTTAAGGTAAAACGGCCTGACAGCCCGTAGGAACTCGATCCCCTGAAGGCTCACCCATGTAAGGGATTTGGCTGTGGAGAATATCTTGATACGACGCTGATTGATGTTATTCCTTGGTGACAGACCCCGAGGAGATTGACAGGCTGCTGGAGGGTACTATCAAGTTCATTTGTCCCCACTGGGAAATGGTCTACCCAGCTCCCCACCAGGGCAAATCCTATTATTTTATTGGGTAAGAAGCTCTTTTTTCCCCACTGGGAAATGGTTTACCTACTGGGCCACCGAGGCAGATCCTATTTGTCTATAGAGATCCTTTTGGAAGATACATATGTAGCTTTTAACGCCTTTATCGAGTCTAACCACCCACGGGGTAGATCCTCAATTATTATCACCAAGGAGCAGCCTTAACAATATCTTATAAGTATCTTGCTTGCGTACAGAAAGATGATATCCCACACAAATTTCAAAATCTTCCTTCTGCGAGGCCCCATCCTTATAATATACCATCTCCACCATGGACTTTCTGGCAAACAATAGATGTTCGGACGAGTCAAATACCCAGACTCGATTACACTTGCAGCCGCAGAGTCCCTCATCGTACATGCGAAATGCATGTAGCAGAACTTGCAGCAACACTTGGTCTTACTCAACCCCAGAGGCTACACTTGATGGCCTAGATCCCTTCTTAGGAGAACAGACATTCGATTTTTTGTTTACGCACAATCCGCTTTTCGACTCCAATATGATGGCAACGAGTCACAATGTTCAATCACAAAGCTTTGACCATACCGCGGGACTAGGTCTTTCGGTTAGCGAAATGGCATCTGTTCCTGAAAACTTTCTAGAGACCAAGCATGTACCAAGCTCACACTCTAGCCCTCGAAGGACATGCTAACAACGCTTCAATATAGGGCCAGGTTCGCCCCTCTAGTATGTCCTTGGGCTGGATGTATGGCCGCTCCATTTTCCAAAAAAGGAAGCCTCAATCGCCACATCCAGACGCAGCACGAGGCCCCTAACTCCTTCAAGTGCCCATATCTTGGATGTGGCCGAACTTTCAGTCGCAAGGATGGCTTAAACTCGCATCGACGATCTGTTCACAAGGATGTACTATGAGTTTTCGCACAATGATATCAGCAATGATGACCTGGATGATCCGGAGGACGCAAAATACGTGGGCGATAATTCCGTTTCGTCCCCCGATTTAAAGAGCAAGATAGGCCGAGGTACCCCTGCGCCTACCCGGCCCTGTTGAGGCTGAGTAGTTGATGGAGAGAAGTAGAATTCTGGCCAGATGACCACTATCCGGTGGATTCCCTAAGTTTGCCTTGCTTGCGGAACCAACATTCTAGAAGCTTTTGAGACCACCCTGTTACGGATAAGATTTTACATTGCCATTTACACCTGTACTGAGTTACTGCAAAGAAAGGGGCTCGAGCGTAAATTAACCGTAATAGGCAGAGCGAAGCTTTAGAGCAGGGTTCATGAAAGAATCTACGTGTGCGCCTGGTGAAACTGATTTCGATCCTCCCTGTATGCAGATGATTTAAAGGGAAGTCTCCACACTTAATGTAATATATTTATCATGTAGTTAGGCATGGTACATTTGATAATCAAATAAATACACCATGAATTCCGCTAAAACATACATCAAAAATAAACGTTCTCAGCACCCAGGCTCTACCTCCCACGACCCCTCGACCATGTAATACCAAATCTCGCGAACACCCTCTGGATCCTCACCGAGATGTAAAACAGGGGGTTGCCACCTCTCCCTAAAATAATCGAGATGAGGACCCTCCCATCGCGACTTCCGCACCGCAGAACTATCGGCAACAAGATATCGCAACGTGCCCTTCTCGTCTTCACTCTTACAAGAAATTCGATTCATCATCAAGCGATCCATAATCCGTTCGAGCTCACTCGAGAAAACCTCCAAATGCTCTAAACGAATTGTCAGACGTTGGAGCGAAGCAGGCCAATCCAGCTGGAATATATTCTCCTCGCTTTCGGAGTCGAGCGCTGGTTCAAACCCGTACATCCACGTAGACCAACCGAGGAAAGGAACCGTGATAGTTACATGTCGCGGTCGACAGCGATATAAAGCATCCTCGGAAGACAAATAGTCTAGATGGAGATGCGTCGAGCAGAAGAGATTATACAAAGATCCGTAGAAATGAAATTTGCGCATATGGGGGATATGTGCTTCGGTCAAACCCGATACCGCCCGATGGGATGGGATGAATTGGGAGCGCTTTGTGCGTTGGTCTTCAGGGCTTGGGACCTCGCCCCAGAAAATGTGGGTTGCGTTTTGAAGCGGGATGAAGCGTGCCTCGAAGAATATGCGACGACAGGTGTAAAGAAGAGCGGTGTTGATGCACTTTGGTCCTGTGCATTCGGGGCGGTAAAATGGTGTCGTAGGGGCGTATGCGTTGGTTTGGGATTCATATTGTTCGAAAACGTATTTGTAGATTTGCGTTCTTATTTCTGCTGGCAATTTGAAGATGGAACTGGCGACCTGGGAATCGCAATCATCATCTGCGATCCGTGAGAGTGGATCGGGATTTGTCGTAGTCTGATCTTCAGATATAGGGGTCGTCAGAATAATTGGTAACTGCTGTAAGTTGATTACTTGATCCAGTTGTTGGACGCAATTTTTATTCCGGGCTTGAGGCGGGCTCAAAGCCTTCTGTTCCCTTAAACGAGTTGCACGTGCAATAAGGCTTTCTTTTGCGGGAGCTCGAGTCCTTGCCATCAGATCGAGATGAGACAATCCCAGTTATCTGTGCGATATAAAATTGGTCTCTACTAGAAATTGAAACTGTAGATAGCTGATCTTTGCGGTATCCCCCTGAAGGTGAGTTATTTCAGGGGTGGTTGTTTGACGATTGCTGTGGGGAAAATACGAGCAACCTTCCCGTGACCACAACCCCAAAGAGGACTTCATTTGGCGAGGTGATCAAAAACCGTTGTCCAGAGAATTTTTCAGGCACAAGCAGAAAATAAACCAATTGATTGTCTAAACTAAGGAGAAATAATGGTGTTGTTGTCTACTGGTGCATGGGAGCGGCATGGTGAGTCGTAATTCTCGACCTCAATTTCAAAATATATAACTTCAAAAAAGACAGTCCACCGGGGTAGTGGAAAGTCATCGATCCCTAGAACAGAACTTGTTTTCCAAAGTTCCCACTTGGGCAAAGCACAGTTTGGTGATTACCATCAAATGCTTTGATTTCTCTACCCAAGACCGAGGGTAGTTATGCTACCGGCGAGTAACAATAATAGTGTATACTTCGACGATGTGGGGTGATCAATAGAAAAGGGAAGACCCTTACGGCCAAAGGCCAAGAAATGAGTAACTCGTCAGCAATACGAGATCCAATGGCGATTACGTACAATCTCGCAAGGCTCGCATCGGGAATAAGATGACTCACTCGGCATGCCGGTCAGCATGATTTGCATAGAGCATAATCCTTCATATTGTACGGACTTCAGTCTAAAGTCCCCAGGGCTGATCATCCGCTGTGTGCAACATGGCCCACTTGAAAGAATGAACGGAATTTAAATCCTTGAACTCCATCGGGGTTCGGAATCCCCAGCCAAAATTTTCCGGTCTGGTCCAGTCGGGTTGCAAGGCGCATAGGGGAAGCAAGCTAGAGCGCGGACTCCCGAGTCCACATGGCGGCTGATGCCAACTGATAACGGGTGTGGCCCACGCACTGAGATCTACAAAGCTCTCGGAAATATTGAATCTTAAAATGGAGTTCATTGTAGATAGTATCGAGCTGGACTTCGAGATACTTTCATCCATTGGGTGTGCTATGGTACTATTTTCGTGCTCTGAATTTCTAGATTACAAACCAGATAATTTATTCTGGATGCCCGAATCCCGTGCATAGGGTTACTTTGAAGCCGTATACTGAATGCAATGAAATAAAGGATTGATAATCAGGATCGGGGCACTGAGCATATCGAACACAATCACCAGATCGTGTGCAAGATTCTGATTCATCCGAGAATGCCAAGCCCGTGTTTCAGGATGTCTAACCAATCAGAGGCGTGCCGAGTACCCGGTGACACAATTCAACGTGGCCTTATGCCCTGCATAATCAATCACGTGGTTCCCGTTCGCGTCATGCCGCCCGGGGATTTTCCGCGTTTTGATCGCTCTGAGTTTCCTATGAAAAAGGTGGCTGATTTCATGCAGTAACACTGGTGGAAGGCAAAGATGCCCTTGCAAAATAATTCGAGATGATGGGCTGCTTCAATGAATCTTCGAAGCCTGTAAGCCCAGCGTGATCCGGTAGCTCTATATCCCGATAGGTATCCATATGGCGAGATGTCACGGCGTACTCCGTATGGGTCCTGGGCCGACTGGAGCCCCGGTTCGGACCCAGTGGCCTAATTCATGTCTGGATCCCAGTTTCCATCGGTGGAGCCTGATTTTAAGCCCGCTTTTTCTTCATTGCTGGGCAGTTATCCCCATAATGCATGGCTTTTATGTATGATTATTTATCACCGGCCTACCTCCGGGGGAGGTTTCCAGGAACCAACCAGAAAAAAAAAAGCCACCGAAAAAAAAAGAAACGCTCCACCCTATAGCTGTAGCTTTATTAAAGGGGAGATCCCAGCCAGATTAACTGGTTTGATCTTATTTCTCCTCTGAAAGATAATATAATCATAATCATCGCCACAGCGCACTTACTCCCGCTGCTTAATCACCTTCGCCTATCTGAACCCGGCAATACGAAGTATACGCATTACTATTATATCACCTATCCCCGCAAACGGTGCATAACTTCGGAATCTCTTCCAAGTTTATTTTCTCAAAAACACCCCGCTCCCCACCAAAATCCGCACTCGTCTTTTCTCCATTATTATTTCCCTATAATAATAGACAAAAGTCGCGCGCCTTCGCATCGAAAACATCCCCTCACACCCGCCAAATTTTGCCCACCATGGCGGACGACGACAAACACCATGTATCTGAGAAGATCGAATCTTCTCTTCCCACCAAAATTTCCTACTTCCGTCTCGTTTCCGACCAGGGTGTTATCACTCAGCAGATTATGGATCACCCGTACCCGGGCTCAGGCACAGAAGATGATCCATATGCTGTTACATGGATTCCTGAAGACCCCCGCAACCCTATGAATTTCTCCGAGTTCAGGAAATGGTCTTTGACTGCAATTGTCGCTATTGCCACATTGGCTGTCGCATTGGTTTCATCTGCCTACACTGGCGGTGTTGCAGAGATTGAAGCGGAGTTTGGTATCGGCAGTGAACTTGCGACTCTCGGTGTCTCGCTCTTTGTTCTGGGTTTTGCTGTGAGTACCTCCCTTCAGATTCCCATGGCTAGCTTGCAGACGGGCTGGTGGCTAGAATGCGTATATTGAGAACTGTTTACTGACAATCATCTCTAGATCGGTCCCTTGCTCTGGGCTCCCCTCTCCGAACTGTTCGGCCGTCAAATCCTCTTTGTCACCACATACGCTGCCCTGACCGCATTCAACGCTGGCTGTGCCGGTTCCAAGAACGCCTGGACCCTTATCATTCTTCGCTTTTTCGCCGGTGCCTTTGGATCTTCCCCTCTGACCAACGCCGGTGGTGTTATTGCCGATATGTTCCATGCTAAGCAGAGAGGTATCGCCATGAGTCTCTTCGCTGCTGCGCCTTTCCTGGGACCTGTACTGGGACCTATTATCGGTGGTTTCTTGGGTATGAATGCTGGCTGGAAGTGGGTGATGGGATTCCTCGCTGCTTTCTCCGGTGCTGTCTGGATTATGGGTAGTCTGCTGGTTCCTGAGACCTATGCGCCTGTCCTGCTTCGCCAACGCGCAGCCAAGTTGTCGAAGATTACTGGCAAGTTTTATCTGAGCAAGATCGATATCGACCAGGGCAAGGTCTCTCTTAAGGACTCTTTCAAGATTGCCTTGTCCCGCCCTTGGATTCTGTTGTTCCGCGAGCCTATTGTGTTCCTCCTGTCGCTGTACATGGCAATCATTTATGGAACCCTCTATATGATGTTTGCTGCGTTCCCGATCGTTTTCCAAGTCGGCCGTGGCTGGAACCAGGGTATTGGTGGTCTGGCCTTCCTTGGTATCATGGTTGGTATGCTCATGGCGGTGGTTTATACCCTGTGGGACAACAAGCGCTATGTCAAGACTCAAGACAAGCACGACGGCTTCGCACCCCCCGAAGCCCGCTTGCCGCCTACAATGATCGCCTCCATCGCCGTCCCAATCGGTCTCTTCTGGTTCGCATGGACCAACTACCCGTCCATCCACTTCATGGCCAGTATCGCAGCCGGCGTCCCCTTCGGTTTCGGCATGGTCCTTGTCTTCTTGGGTATCATGAACTACCTGATTGACGCCTACACGATCTTCGCCGCCTCAGTCCTAGCAGCCAACAGTATCATCCGTTCCCTATTCGGTGCCGCATTCCCTCTATTCACCTCATACATGTACAAAAACCTCGGAATTCACTGGGCCTCCTCGATCCCGGCCTTCCTGGCCCTCGCCTGTTTGCCCTTCCCCTTCCTGTTCTACAAGTACGGTGCTGCCATCCGCAAGCGCTGCAAGTTCGCCGCCCAATCCGACGCCTTCATGCGCAAGATCCAGGAACAAGCCACAGCCAGCCCCACCGAAGAAGAAGAAGAGGAGACTAAGTTCGATCGAACTGAAGCCCCACGTCCCGTCGAGTCCCTGTCTAGCGAATCGTCCTCCCACCTCGACGAGGAGCTTCCCTCTACTCAACGCACTCGCAGCCGCGCTCACTCCGTGGCATCAACCCGTACTGCGGGCTCGCTGCATCGCGTACCGACTTATGAAGGAAACCCTTACGATGTTGACCGTGTCAATACCCGAGAGTCCTTCAAGCAATAAGCGGTGCTGCTACTTATTTCCCCCCTTAATCACTACATACTTATCCGTGCCCTGATAATCTTATTACATACCCCCTCCCCTTCAACTGCACAAAAAAAAGCACGCCTTTATTTACTGGCATGACAGCTATTTGGTTTTTTTTTTCTGTTTTTATACCCTCATGTTTCCCAGGTTGGGAACGAGCTTATGTGTTTACGGGTCTCATTATTTGCATATGGATACGGAGTCGAGTCGAGTCGATGTTGAACATAGCTCGGATAATTGAATTATTATTAGATTTCAACTTTCAAAGTCCTGACGTATGCTCATTGTATGAAAATGCTTTAAAGTCATTCCATAATACAGGCCAAGTGGGGAGGACTGTAGATACAGGCTGGCTACAAGTAAATAAATTTACGGTGACTTGAGAAACCCTCGCTTGACTTCAAGAAATGTATTGTAGCTAACCGATTAACACGCAAAGCCCGAAAAAAGGAAACAATTGTAACACAGATACAGTCCGCACGAAAGAGTATATGCAATGAGGGCAGAAGACATGCAGCATCCTTCAAAACACTGTTTTCGCGGCCGAGAAAAAAAGAGCCCCGAGAACATCAAAATCTACGAGAAGGAGCGCAGGAAGAGGAAAGGGGGTCGTTGCATGAATGAGCAAAAATGAACAATAAAAAAACAAAATTTGTCATAGATGGTAAAGACGTTGCCTAATGTGCGCTGGCCCAAGAAGATAACTAGTAACAAGAACTCATGTAGCACGATTTTCAATTCAATCAAGCGTCGATGAGGTTGCTTCTTTGCTGCTCGCTTTGGGTATCCTTAATCTTGCGAGCGGAACGCGCGTAGTACTCGTCGAGGACCTTCTTAGGGATGCGGTTGAGAAGCTCCTTGGGGTAGATGCGGAGCAGGTTCCAGGCGATGTCTAGAGACTCGATGATGGTTCGGCCCTCGTAGGCAGACTGGCTGATAAAGGATCGCTCGAATTTGTCGAGGAACTCCAGAGAAAGCTTGTCCTCGGCAGACAAGGCTTCCTCACCGACGACAGCCTTCATGGCGGCTATATGCGAGGAGTTTCGTTAGAATGCAGATAGAATGAGGGTTGAATGTCAGAAGAACTCACCGGCATCACGACCGATAGCGTACTTGGCGTAAAGCTGGTTGGACACATCCGAGTGATCCTTACGGGTGCGGCCCTCGCCAATGGCAGACTTCATGAGACGAGACAGTGACGGCAGGACGTTGATTGGTGGGAAAACACCCTTGTTATACAGTTGACGATCGACGAAGATTTGACCCTCCTGTTAGAAATATCAGTCTTGCCTGCCTACTGATATCGGAGAGGGGAGGGTACGAACGGTAATATAACCTGTTAGATCAGGAATGGGATGCGTGATATCTGATCGAGGAAGAAGAGGTTAGGTGGATCGGCGGGGAAAAATGTGAAAAAAAGACGGGCGTTCATACCATCGTTAGGCATGGTCAAGATGGGAATTTGGGTGATGGAACCATTACGGCCCTCAACACGACCAGCACGCTCGTAAATAGTCGACAAATCCGTGTACATGTAACCGGGGTAACCACGACGACCGGGGACTTCTTCACGGGCAGCGGAAACCTCACGAAGGGCATCACAGTATGCCGAAAGATCAGTCAGAATAACCAGAACGTGCTTCTCCAGCTGGTAGGCGAAGTATTCGGCAGTCGTCAAAGCCAGACGAGGGGTAATAATACGCTCGATAGTGGGGTCGTTGGCCAAGTTCAGGAAGAGACAGGTACGCTCCATACTGCCGTTCTCCTCGAACTCGCGAGTGAAGAATCGAGCAGTCTCCATATTAACACCCATAGCAGCGAAAACAATAATGAAATCCTCATCTTTACCACCGGCAGCCTTGACCAGACTGGCTTGTCGAGCAATAGTCGCAGCGATTTCGTTGTGGGGAAGACCGGCGGCGGAGAAGATAGGAATCTTCTGACCACGAGCGATAGAGTTCATAGTATCGATGGCGGAAATACCGGTGGAAATCATTTCCTCGGGATACACCTAGAGAATTGCGTCAGCTCCGATAACCCATACATAATGTAGATTTGGTGGTATGCCATACCCGAGAGTAGGGGTTGATGGGCTGGCCATTGATATCCAGATACTCCTCCGCAAGCACCTTGGGTCCCTTATCAATTGGACGTCCCGAACCATCGAAGATACGACCCAGCATATCCTCGGACACACCAAGCTTCAAGCTGTGACCGGTGAACTCGACTTTAGTCTGATTTAGGTGTCAGCAATCCGAAGAACAAGCTCTACCCGTCTCTGTCGCCCTCGGAAATTCTCACCTTCTTCACATCGACACCGGGGGTACCCTCGAACACCTAGTAATAGCGAGTATAATGTCAACGTCTTGTCATGATAAGTGGAATCGGATTGGCATTGGACGCGGTTCGTACCTGAACGACAGCTCGGTCTCCTACATTATAGATAACAGAAATTAGCAAAATGTTCTTCGGAAGGTGTATGGCAAGTACCGAAGTACTGCGGCAAGTCTGGGAGCTTACCCTTGGCCTCCAACACTTGACCGGAGCGCTCCGTTCCATCGGGCAGGGTCAGGGTGACAATTTCGTTGAAACGGGGGGAATTTGACCTGAAGCGAAGAGCCGGAAATTAGTGACAAGCTCCAGATCCCGTGTCAAGCTATTTCCAACGATCTCACATTGTCGAGGACGACCAGCGGTCCGTTAATGCCTCCGATGGTGTTGTAGCGAATGCGGGGCTTGATGGCGGCCAACCGGGGGTCGGTGGACTCTGGCATGACGGGCGAATCGGGTCCTCCACAGACTCAACGTCGAAATAAGTCAAATGGGAGTCTTCACAAGATAGGAGTCGAGCAAGCTTGGATGAGCCTAAGCCGGGGGGTTGGCCAAGCTGTCCGCTGTGCAGCTCGGGCGGTGACGCGGCACGTGATTGCGTACGCCGATGACTAAGTGTATGACTAATGGATGGTTATGCAATACAAGCACAGTATGGGATGAATATTATGGAGTCGGAGTTGCAAGTAGGCGTGATCATTTACCCGTCAGCCTCTTCTTTCCTTCAGGTGGTTTTCCACTCCTTCAACTTCTTTCACTCTTCCCCCTCCTTACAAACCATCCCTACCCACTACATTGAGAAGTATTGCGGTTACCTTCCTATTGTTCGGAGAAACCTTCCGTTTATCGCCTCTGCATTTCTTATCGCCACACTCCGCTCTGACTCCGCGATTCGGCCCCCGGATCTCTTTGTGATTATTTTCTTTTCTTTCCTTTTCTTTGGATATTTGGACTCCGCCCCTTGGATACAATCGCCTATATACGGAGAGGGATATATGACTCTGGCTTGAAAGTCGGATATGAGCCTCTTTCAGAAGGGGATCGGCTCCCACGCTGTCACATTCGCAACTCGACCACGATTGATTGTACCCCGAACTCCGCTGCGACGAGTACGACAGCCCCGACGATACAATTCCTCCACACCCGAACAGCCACCTGCGCAGGGAAAACCCACCAAAGATGGATCGACGGTGAACAAAAGTACTTCGAATCCTTCTACAAACCCTTCTTCACAGTCGAGCTCGTCCGGTGCACAACAACCATCCAATGCCTCGGCGGCAGTCGGTGCGGCGGTGCGGCGACCACACCCGCAGGCGCTAGTGAGGTCGCACGTTCTCGGGGATTCAAGGAGATCATAAAGGCTAGTCCTTTAGGTCGACTTGGGAGGTGGTATTCGGGCGCTCAGGCGCGGAAACCCTATACTGTACAGGTGTGGAGTTCAATCGTGATATACTTGTGTGGAGATCTGAGTGCTCAGCTGCTGTTCCCCGAGAAGCCATCACCAAAGGAACAAGCTAAGCTTAAGGAGACGTCAGAGGCACAAGGGGAAGACGACACGGAGAAGAGCTTTTTGTCTACGTATGATCCCTGGAGGACTGCACGGCATCTGGTTGTTGGAGCGGGATCGAGTATTCCGTCATATCATTGGTAAGTTAGACCTAGCGCCGAGATCCATACAGAGTCTGCAGGGCATATTGTGACCGAGATACGGAGTATGCAGAGGACTGACTCTTATTTCTAGGTTCTGGTGGCTCCACAACAATTTCAACTTTTCATCCAAGCTTCTGTCGATCCTTACAAAAGTGGCGGTTCAGCAGGCATGCTTCACGCCCGTATTCAACACCTACTTCTTCAGCGTCCACTCCCTTCTTGGTGGTGCAACCTTTGAGGAAACCTGGGAGCGTTTGAAGAAGGCCCTTCCCGTCAGTGTTACCAACAGTGTCAAGCTCTGGCCCGCCGTTACTGCCTTTAGTCTGGTCTATGTGCAACCGCAGTTCCGCAATGTCTTCGGAGGTGTTATTGCCGTTGGCTGGCAAACTTATCTGAGCTGGTTGAACCAGAAGGCTAAACACGAAGTTGAGATGGCCGAGCTGGCGGCTGCAGCCGAGAGCACAATCTCCGAAATAGCGAATCCTTTGAATGGTAAGCTGGTTTCCGCAGCAGGATCTGCTTGATATAGAGTTGAGAATTTGTTTCTCATTTAGAATTTACATGGGGACCATTGTATAGATCTCACGCCTGACATAACTGGCGTTGGGAGGAAGGAGGATTTATTTTGATGAGCGATGCATTTTTGGCCACGGCCAACAACACTAGACAATAGACCTAGATGTCTTTTCTTTCTCTTCTGTCATTTATTTCATTTTAAATATACCAATTGAAAAATACCCAATATTTCAACCGTGTTCGACCGGAATTACCTTCAAAAGTTGTGAGTTGACCGATGTCCAATGACCGCCCTGGAATTCCCAAGCTTGACTTACAATGACGCATGGCGCGTCTGATCTTCACCTTTCGCATACCACTGCAGGGACATGAGCTCTCTCGATTGTCGCAGGCATGTCCTGCTCACCGCAACTGCCGCGGCCTGAACAATCTGATTCCAGTGACTACGGATCGGATTTCTCTCCCGAAGAAGACGAGCTACTAAACGAGCTACTCGCCAAAGCCGTCGCGGAAAAGGCGACTATTCATCCCAACGCCACCCCGACCTCGACCTCGACTCCGATCCCTACAGCCGCGCCGATAACACAAAACACAAACAGAGTACCCCTATCAGACCCCACGGATATCGAGACCCTACAACCGGCGACTCTTGCGGCGCTCGTCGCGGATATTGAAGATGGTATTGAGGATGCTCCGGGTGTCCGGCTACCCAAAGTGCTGGGCGGGAGAAGCCTCGTTCGCCATGGAGACAATCGAGTCAACGTTCTTGGATGGGCTCACAAACTGCAAGGGGGCTTGCGGATAGAACAAGCCCGGGACCAAACAACAGGCCCAGCCCGCTTGGTAGGAATTTCTTCAAGCGCTGTCCCGCACTGACGGTCCATTGAACTCAGGCTGACCCTTTATTATCCGAAGCGTTTAGTGGAACACCCTCACTCATCCGAAGGCAGAGAACGAGAGCGGGAGCGCAGTGCTGCGCGTGAGTTAGTCTGGACACAAGAAGCACAGGCAGCTGCCACAATAGACACTAGATCTCCCGTGGAGCGATTCAGACGCCCGCCAAATAAGGCTTTCTCTGTGACTGACTTGGTTTCGCCTGCTTGGTGTGAGCTGCAATATTGGTATACCTTGACCAAACATGGGAGGAAACGAAGAACCCCCGCCATGAAAAAGGGCAGCGTCGTGCACAAGACCCTCGAGGATGAAATATATACTACCGTGCCGGTCGAGATTACGACAAAAGAGGATGCATGGGCCCTCAGGATATGGAATGTGATCCAGGGACTGCGGCTGCTGCGGGAATATGGCATTACTCGCGAACTGGAGGTTTGGGGCCTCATCGATGGAGAGGTTGTTAATGGGGTGATTGACCAGCTGTCGTACGAATGCCCAGACTCCAAGTTCGAGGCAACAGCTGCGAGATTTTATGAAGATGCAGCGACGTCGCGGGCCGCCTTACCTGAATACCAGATGTCCTTGTCGGACTATTTGCTTTCTTCCTCCCAAGGTGGAAGGAGGCTTTCAGACCTTGCCGAGCACCAGCCCGTGGAGGAATTCTACCCCGCCGAAGAGGAATCCATGGCTGTTTATGACCTACCGAGGATATACATGACAGACGTGAAGACCAAGGCGAATGGATCGGCTCCTACGGTCAAAAGCACATCTTTCCGGCCGACACTCCTGCAATTGCAACTGTATTACCATATGCTCAACCGTCTTATTACGAGCGACGATGTAACGATTTACGTTCTTGCAGAACGCTACGGGTTTGACCCGGAACGTCCATTTACCGATACATTTATAACCGAAGTGGGTGGATTGAATGATGAGTTCTTTGACGCCGAGTCATCCCAAGAGCTTGACATGGATGATATTTCAAATCCAGATGATGCTATACGGAGGTCCTCTGGCTCCGAACCAGCGTCTAGCCTCCCAAAGGCTAGTCAAGACTCAACCAGCGTCCTCTTAACCCATGGGACTCTTGCAAGCCTCTGGGATTACATGAAAGATCAACTCCGTCTTACATTCCTACCCGAATATTCATCAACCTCGTCCCCTGTCGCTCCATCTATTCCATCGCACACCCAGCCAGAAATGCTCAAAGAGTACCCTACTCTTCTTTCTCCTGTTCTTACTGCACGATATGTGTCTTCAGCCGCGACAACCGACCCCCAACCTCGGCATATCGGAAGTAGATCTTTCTTTTACGACACTGACACCATGAGTTCCTACATTACTGAACAAATGGAATGGTGGCGTGGTCAGCGTGATCCCCGTGGTGTCGACGTCATGGATGCTTGGAAATGTCGTTTCTGTGACTTCAACGAGGAGTGCACTTGGAGACAAGAGCGAGCGTTAGAATATGCCAGACGAAACAGCAGACGGAGGACGAGTGCTTCAGTAGATTTCTGAAGTCTCTAATACCCTGCGCTGAAACTCTACCCTCCATCCTGCATACATGTGGCGTTCATGAAACGAGAATAGACCCTCATAGAGTTAACAACCAAAGTTTGGAATACATACGCAAATCAATCGTAATTCTAATTACAACGGATAAGCCCGTATATCATCTTCCTTCTCTACCTCCAGCCCATTCGCAACCTGCTCTTCATGCTTCTGATCCAAATACTCCAACAAAACCTCCTCGTACTTCTGCTTCCCTTTATACCTCGAAACATCATCCCCCCAACTCCGAATCGCAGAAGCCAACCGACCAGGCACATAAGGCTCCTTAACAATCTCCGTAATTGGCTCAAAGTACGTCCGAATAGTGAAAACCACAGCACCCGACTTAGGCAACCTTCGCAAAGATTGTCTCTCAGAGCGAAAGAAATGATGCTCAATCGCCTTGTTTTTCATCGCCGTATTCCACGACACGGTCTCCGCATCTTCAGACCCGATACTATGCGACCAGGCCAGACTATCATCTACCTGGATGAAGTAATTATTTCGCAAAACGGGCTCTTCGGGCTTCAGTCGACGGAAAAAATTCATCATGCCCTTTTCCAGCTTCTCGCGGAATTGAGGTACGTCGCCCGAGGTGTGGATTTCTGAAAGTCGCATCCCGAATTTGTCGCTCAGGCGCCAGAATCCGGCTAGTAGGATTGCTCCGGCTAGGAGGTAGTATTCGCCGTCGGGTCGTTCGAACATTAGGGCTAGGTCGTCTTGGACGAGTCGGGCTGCTGTTGCCATTGGGTCTTCGGGGAGTGGGCGTTGGGTTATGTTGAAGGTTTCGTTGGTGGCTTTGTTGGTTATTCCCGTTGGGGTCTTTTCGAACATGCTTGGGTAGCGCTCTGGGAGGTAGGCGCATCTATTTGAGATTTGGTTAGATCTCGTTCAGTGTTGTTGTAGTGGGATGAGGAGGAGGGGTTTCTTACAGTTCTTCAAGTAGTTCGATGGCACCGTCCATTGCCTCTGGTGCGGTGCCAAAACACTTTTCTCCGCGTTCCTCGATTCTTTTCTTCTTGTCGGCGTGATATTTGAGGTAATGGTTGTCTAGTTCTTTAGAGTGACACAATTATTAGTATCTATTCTCCACCACTATTAAAGTGGAATTTACCTATCCATTCATCCCACTTCATACTTCTCAACCCGAGTGTTATAAAATACTTTCTGCTCTAAATTTTAGTCGATGCTGGTATATGCGATGTGCTTAGAACTCACGGGCCATATCGAAACGGCCTGTACGGGATGGGCTTGGTGTTGTGGACATCCCAGTCAGAGTAAGGTGTTGCGGCAGGCCTCTTGAATGTAGAAGGTATCCATTCTGTTCCGCAGTTAACTAAATACATTTCACTTTCAAGCCGGGTTTTGAATGGCTACTTACCACCGAACTTTCTCGTCACCTTCTCCCTAACACCTGGGCTGGATGCCGGTTTCTCTAGGTCGGGGGAGCCTGGTCTCGTTGATTTGCTGAAGCGTGCGATCAATTTTCGAGAAACGAGAACACCGAGACAGATAGCCAAGTTGATGGCTAGGAAGATCCCCACGGGGTCTTTTGTCGGGGAGATGGATAGGAGGGTTTCGTGGAGATATTTGGTCACCGCCATGTCTAATTCTGGGCTGTATAACACACTGGCAGCTATATGCAGTCGAAGAATATGGATAAGGCTTGTTCTATTAAACTAAAGTATCCATGGTCGGAAGGAGACAGATACTATATTGATAAAAACAGTATATCATCCACTGAATGGAATAGGCGAAGTAGTCTTTTGTATGATAGCAAACGCGGAATCCCTTATCCCCAGGCTGTAGTGTAACGTCCTTGCCGGGATCAAGTATCTCTCTCGTAAATTGCCTTTCCTGTTAGTCCGATGCGATTGGATCTTCTATCTGACAAGGAACGGACGTAGCGTGGCTAAACTGCCACAAGTCGGGGGAAACTGAAAGAGGGGATCCCGCTTTATCTCATCTCTTTCGAGCCGTTTGATCCGAGGCTACAGTGACACAGGAAGATCGTATGGATTACAAGCCAAAACATGGTTTTATCTGCGGGGGACATGCTTATCATCTGTCAGGCCGAGCCCTCTCGAGGGACTTTTTTTTCCCGATCGGGTAAAGCGAGTGTTAGACTAAGGTTTGTACCCCGGATTCTCAGAAGAAGCGGGCTAACTACAGAGTGGAAGTCTGGAGGAAAGGTTTGAAATAATAGTCACTTGACTTATTTGTTTTGTAGACTGTGTATTGCTAAAAAATGACATCATATACTATACATTGGTTGTGTCAGTTTGACGCTGGAGGAGACAATACTGGCCCCATTTCCGCTGGAACTGATCTGGAATGAAAGGCAGATCGGGAACCCAGATCAATCGACCAAGCAGGCTTGTTTGGGACGCATCTAGGAAGCTTGCACAAGAGATATGTTCCCACTGGGATTCATCTAAGACGTAGTGGGGCTCTAGTTTGGTTGCTTGACGGCTTGGGAAGTAGGAATCAACTAGGAAAGAGCATTGTGAAATGTCGACCTGTTTCATTAGATTAGCCTGGCCGCAAATTCTGAGTGGAAGGCTTATACGATAGGCACTTACATATTTGTCGGGGTCCTCTTCATTAAGATCGTTCATGCCAGACGGGATCTGCGAGGCACCCTCTAGCCGACCAAGGGCGCTTGGCGCATCAGGGAACTCGCCAGGAAGCAGACCGTTGAATTCACTCCGAATAAACTTGGCCCGCATGTCGTGTGGCAAGAAGTAGGAAGACGGGAATCGGTACCATTCTTTACCGAAACAGACGGATGCCCCAGCGTGGGTTACATCCACCTCTTGCAACGGCGAGAAAACGTTCAAGGGGGCGTTATATGCCGTGACTATTCCAAGAATACGCAACATTCCTGCATTGAAGGCCACCAAAACGACAGACAGGACCGCGGCGAGCTTCAGTTTGGCTGGCAAGCGACCAATAACCTCTTTTGGGTTGCTTGACCCAAGATAGGACAGAATTATGTGGAATGCGAGAGCCGCATTGAGAGCGATAAAGGGATACGCGGGGTACATGAAGCGCTCCTCCTTGTGTGGTTGCGAAGTAAAGATGCCAAACCACATGTAGAAAGGCGCGGTTAGAGTTATCGAGCGCAACACCGCCTGAACGGATGTGGTATGAGACCGGAATAGGGCTTGGATGACAAGCAGCGGGCCGGACAACAGAGCTAGAGCAAACCAGATGTTGAAGTTCAAGAGGAGGTTCCGAATATAAAACGTCCACGGCTCGGTACCGAAGATCTCAGGACCTTTGCCTTGGCCGCCGAAAACATTGTAGGCAACAATGTTCCAGGGCACGAGCGCAAACTTTCGGAAGAAGGCATAGTCAACTGCCATTTCAAGGCCCTGTAAGTTGTCTTAGTAGAGATCAAGAGTAAAGATGAGCTGGCACTTGAAACTTACCACAATTGCAAGGCATCGGAGAGCTCCATCGAATATCATGTAGAAAAGAGATCCTAAGGACCCGGCGAAAAAGCAGATCACGACCTCCTCGACAATCAAAGGCAAAATAAGAGCTCCGGCGAATGGCCAGCCAACAACTGCCCCGAGACCGAACCACATAATCCCCTGGGCCGTTTTGGGTCCATTTTTATAGTCCAGGAAAGCAGCTAGACCCAGCATAGATGTGTACATGGTGAATGAGGAAGGCAAGAAGGAAGTTGCTGCATGGAACATGCCGGGGCTGAATATGGAGACCATCAAGAAGATCAGACCGATGCGAGGGTTGAGGGCTCGACAGATGGCAGAGTATAATCGGGTTTGGCATGCGGCACAGAAAAGGGCGAGGAAAATTCGGATCACATAGAATTCAGCAGATTTTGTGCTGATGAAAGGGGATGCCAGCTTGCCCACAACAGCATGGAGTGACACGTAGAGCCAGCTTCGAATTGAGTACACTGGCGAGTACTCCCATGTTTGAAGGCCATATCCGTGTTGGAGGTAATGGGATGGTTCCCAGAAGTTGAACACCTCATCGCAGTCTTGAATTGGAGCGAATAAAGCCGCTAGGATATTGACAACAAGGCATAGATATAGCGTGACATTCAAAGGCAAGTAGAACGGTGGAGGTGGAGGACTGGGAGAGAGCAGTGTTAGCTAGATATACCATGCGCCAATTTTCCTTGACCATCACCTACCGGGCCTTTGTGCGAGGCGTTGGGTCCGAAGAAGAACTATTAGGTCCAGCCATTATGTTCCCCTATGTGCCACCACAGTTGCGCGTAATGTTGAGGATCGAAGGTCCATATGGTCCCAGCAGGGAAGGTAAGGTGGGAGTCCACTTGGCAGGCGATAACGCGCGATAAGAAAAGCTCCGGCGACCGCAACGGCAACTTTGGCACTTCCGAAAAAAAAAGTTCCCGCCGAACTTCTTGGGTTTCCTTCTCTTGACACAAGCCTTACGGTTATTTTTATTTTTACGATAGTTCCTTGATTTCATACAGGAACTCATCAAGATGAGTGATCAGCAGATGCACTCAACTGGGTCTGAACTGCCTATTGAAGGCCCTCCACTCAAGAAACCCTGCATGCTTGATACGCCACCCGTCGCAACAACTCCAGACGATGGTAGCGATTTCTACAACACACCCTTGCCTTCGGGGACTCCGGTGCCGAGTACGATGGCCGATGACTCCACACCTGCTACTGAAGCCACTCCTCCCGTACCACCAGTCCCAACGATCCCGGGACTGGGCCTGATCAGCAACCCCAGCAACCCCAGCGACCAGCAAACCCCGCCAACCCAGCAAGTCAAGACCGAGGAAGAGCCGCAAATTCCTGCTGTGGAGTTGGAGAAGAATGAATCAATGGTCAAATCCGAGGACAACAACACAGCGCTCAAGCAAGAGTCTGTGGAAACCGCAGTCAATCAGGCCGCCGGCGATGAAGCACCCGCAACCACTGGGGAGGCAATGGAGGTGGACCAAAAGCCCGAGCAAAGCAACCTGGATGCCAGCAGTGGGCTGATCGAAAACAACACAAAAGAGGATCAAGGGGAGGAAGAACACCCTGAATGGGAGGTCGATTCATCTCCATACGAGTCTTCCTCTGACAGCTCCTCCGACTCAGACGACAGCAGCGAGGACGAAGACTACCCCATTCTCACCCCCGAAGAGCAGGCACGGATTTTGATGCAGGCCGAAGCTGGCTCTGACGATGAAGGAGAAGGCAAGGGCAAGTCGGGGAGGATACATTCGTTCTACCAACGAGGTTGTGGAGGATGTGCTGCCAATCCCCGATGTTACGATCACACCCGAAATGCCCATTGTACTACTGGGGAAACTCAAAACTCTCATTGAGAATGCCGCTCTTATCGAGGCCAACACTTCGGGAGAGTATCAAGTCCTGGAGTCGGGCTCATTGCTTTGCTCAGAAGATCGCAAGGTTCTTGGCGTTGTTGCCGAAACCCTCGGCAGAGTCGAGAATCCTCTGTACACTGTCATGTACGCAACTGCCGCCGAGCCCGCGGAGCGAGGTATCTCTAAGGATATGACTGTTTACTATGTTCCGGCCCACTCAACATTTGTTTTCACGCAGCCCCTAAAGGGTCTGAAGGGAAGCGATGCGTCTAACTTCCACGACGAGGAGATCGCAGATGAAGAGATGGAATTCTCCGACGACGAAGCGGAGGCTGAATACAAGAAGAGACTGAAGCAGAAGCGCCAGGAAAGAAAGGATGCTAGAGATGGCGGCGGTGGACGTGGAAAGAAAGGACCCGCAGGTCCCTCCAAGTTAAGCCACACCGAACTTAACTATGACGATGCAGGGGGTGAAGATGGATACACACCCCTTGCCCGACCTAAGAACTATCACGAAATGATGGGAGCTCGAGAGGCACCAGTTGAGGGCGCCGAGCGAGCATCTGGATTCCGTGGAGGCAGAGGTCGCGGACGGGGCTCTGACCGCGGTCGGGGTGGTCGCGGACGAGGCAATGGAGGCCGAGGAGGAGGCTCGTACGAACGTGACCAGGATCGTCGTCCTCAGAACCAGCAAGGAAACAGTTCGCAGTATACACCTGCAGCACCTCAATACCAGCCTGCTGGATATGGCCAACCGGCATATCCTCAGCAGCAACAGCAGCAACAGCAGCAACAGCAGCAACAGCCCGCCTTCGGAATGCCCCAGGCTTTCGCTCCGTACCAGCAGTATGCGCCCCAACAGCAAGCACAGCTTCCTCAAGGCGCAGCTCCAGGACAGTTTCCTTTCCAATTCCCCTTCCAGCAACCTTTCGCCCAGCCGAATCCTTTCCAATCTATCCCTCCTGGTGCGCATATCAATCCGCTCTTCTTGGCTGCATTGCAACAACAGCAACAATATCAGCAACCCCAGCAGCAGCAATATCAGCAGCCTCAACAGCCTCAGCAATATCAACAGCCCCAGCCGGGCCAACAAGGTGCCCCCCAGGGACAACAAAACCCTGCAATGAACTTTGACCAAGTCAAAGCTCAGCTGGATCTTCTACGGAATCTGAGCAACAACCAAGGGCCGCCTCCCTCTTGATTTGATTTTTTTTTCTAGCTTCTTGGCATGATCTCAATACTCAACCATTTGCATTAGGATCGGGGTTACTGTGGTTTTTCATATGGGTTCCATTTAAAAAAAGTTCATGATTTGGTTCGGATATTTTTAGTTCGCTTGGACGTTGTATGGATGATAGAATACATATTTGCTGCATGGAAGGCACACAGTTGATGAGATAATAATACTAGTATGATCGATTGGTATCGCTCGTTGTTAGCAAAGGCAGAACCGATCCGATCAGTCAATTCTGCCACAAATAGGACCAAAGGTTGAAAATGCTGAAAATGCCTTAAAACTCAGCAGGCTTGGCGCTCTTCGCCAACACCCAGAAGTTCTCCATCTTTGCACGAGCCAAAACCTCCTTGGCTGCAGAGTCGGACTCGCAGGGTCTGGCACCCAGCCACTTCCTAAAAACTCGGTTCTTCGCCTGTCCTTCCCATAGAAGCGTGCATGTATTGTCACGGAAGTCCCGTAGCTCTCCCTTATCATCCTCTGTAGACCACCATATTGGTTGTCCCTCGCTCTTTTCAGAAGTAGTCGGGCCGGGATTATCGGTCCAGTCGATTCGGTTAAGCATAAGCTTGCGGTAATTGTTGATGGAGTGTTTTCCACCCTCGACGATAACCAAATTGACCTTAGGATGAGTGACACAGACACCAGTCAAAGCATTTTGTTCTGCGTTTTTATTGATCTTAAAGCGATTCCGGCCACTGGCGAGATTGTCGATTCTGTAGACAGAAACATAGATACCCAGTTGGGCATCGGTCTCTTGCTGGTTTGCAAGCTTCTCGCGTCGTTGGTCTTTGGTCAACTTGCGATCTTCGTTCATGGCCTCGTGGTCCTCACGACGCTCGGTGATTTCCTTGTTCACGCGCGCTTCAACAGCCGTGGGGTCCTTGACGGCTTGTTCACCAAGAACTCGCATCAAATTGGACTTCTTGACCTTGGGAGCAGGCGCGGGTTCAAGACCCAGTCGGATCTTTGCTTGTTGTTCTTTCAAATCTGCCATGCGTCGCTGGCGGCGAATCTTCGCTTGCTCCTTGTGTGTAAGGAACATAGGTTTTTGCGCTGGTTGATGATTTTCCTGGGGTGGCTCAAGGAGCACAGGGTGTTGAATATAGCGTGTGATAATCGTGTCGGGAGTGTCAACCTTGACATTTGCTGGATCCTCGATAGCAGAATAATCGCCCCCACTGACCAAGCCTTCGTCCCACCATTCAATAGCTGGTGGTGCGGGTACGAGATAGGATTTTTCGACATCCATATCTTCGTCAATACCGGCTTGTCGGGCCCTCTCCGCAATCCGCTTCTTCATAGCCTCCAATTGTGCCTGTCGTCGAAGAGCCGCAGCTTGTTGGATATATTTGCCCTTCTCGTTGAAGATTAACTGTCGGGAACTGCGTGGTTTGGCAACGGTAGCCTTCGGATCGAGACTGGGATCGAAGTATGGGTTATTCTTGATCTCCTCAATTGAAGGACCAGATAGATCCAGTCGAGCTTTGTTGCCGCGCTGGAACGCAGATCCTGGTGTATCCCGCCGGTTACCTCCTTTACTTTTTCCTCCACGGAATTCAGGCGCCTTATCGGAAAGCAGTGCTGGATGGAGACCGACATCTAGACCACCACGAGCCTTGGACAGGCCATCGTCATCGAATGCCGGAGCGTGTGAAGGTGTCGGCGCACTCGGTCGTTGTTGAGAAGGTGCATTGGCTCTGCTAGTCGCGGCGGCCACCCTGGCTTTCATCTGTTCCAACTTCGACATTGCAGCACTCGGCGCGGTCGAGCCTGGCGCGGGACTTGATCCTGCAGGAGGCGCTGGTGGTGTCGCGCCGCCGCGCGCCGCCGCTAGACGTGCGCGCACAGCTTCAGCCTTGGCTTTTGCTTCCGCGACCATCTTCTCGATATCCATCTTGGGTGCTGCAGGCGCAGCCTGACCTGGGGCTGGGGATCCATTGTTTGAGCGGGTCCTTTTTTGAGAATTATGATCGTCCTCTACGGGATGAGGTCGCTTCAGCGCATTACCTGAGTCCGCCATGGTGATGATGAAGGCAAAGGGAGATCACGCAGGGACCACGACCAGGAGGAGGGAAAGTCGAAAGTTGAAAGTCGAAAGGTGTGAAACTCGGCCTAAGTGAAGAAGGCAAGCTGCGTCTGCGTGGATCCCCCCCGGAGTAGGCGGTCAAGGCGGAAGGTGGCAGAAAAGTTACTCCACGCCGAGCAACTTTTACTTTTTTCGAATTTGTTCCGCATTGGAGACTCTTCGAGGCCCTTTGACATTCGCATAGCGTTTTCTGTTGCTCAAGGAGCCACAGGGCACAATGGCGACCTTCGCACGCCCAGTCTCCTCCAATATCGCCGGAGTAGACTTTACCGTTTACTCCGACGAGGAGATCAAAAAGCTGTCGGTGAAAAGAATTCAGAATACTCCGACTTTGGACTCTTTTAACAACCCGGTTCCTGGCGGTCTTTATGACCCTGCTATGGGCGCATGGGGTGACCATGTGTAAGTTCATGCTCTCAATTGTTCTTCTACTTTCCATCAATCAAGCTTTTGGGCTAACTCATTACCGATTTGCCGTCGATTAGCTGTACTACATGTCGCTTGAACTCTTGGTCTTGCACTGGCCACGCCGGCCACATTGAACTCCCAGTTCCCGTTTATAATGTCACCTTCTTCGATCACATCTACCGCTTGATTCGCGCCCAGTGTGTGTACTGTCATCGGTTGCAAATGTCACGCTCACTTGTCAACCTGTATGTCTGCAAACTGCGCCTCCTCCAATACGGCTTGACCGGAGAAGTCGCCAAGGTCGAAGAGATTGGATCTGCCAAGGGTGCCGCTTCCAAGGCTCAGACACAGAAGGGTGATGGCTCGGACTCTGAGGAGGAGGACGATGAGTCCATCATGGAAAAGCGCACTGCCTACGTCTCCCGCTGCATCAAGGAAGCCAAGAAAGACGGACGATTGGATGGATTAATGACCGGCGCAAAGAACCCCATCGCTGCTGAGAATAGGCGAGAGCTTGTGAAGCAATTCTTGAAGGATATTAACGGCAATAAGAAATGTCACAACTGCAGTGGGTACGTTACTATTGGAATACCTTTCTCCCGATAGAGTTTGCGCTGAGCTAACATTGTCGTTCAGTATCACACCCTCCTACCGAAAGGATCGCTACAACAAGATCTTCCGAAAGGGCTTGACCGAAAAGTCGAAGCTGGCTATGTTACACGGTGGATTCCAGGCTCCCAACAGCTTGGTCCTTCTTGACCAGGAAAAGAAGTCTGCTTCGAAAGACGGCGGCGAAACCTCCGTGTCCGAGGTTCACGGTGCCGAGGAAGAGATCCGCCGCGGTGCTGCTGTCACGAAGACGGCGACAGCTGGGGAGTCTGGCCAGGAGTTCGTGACTTCATCTGAAGCCTACAGTGCTATGCAACTTCTGTTCCAAAAGGATAGCGAGGTTCTTCAGCTCGTCTATAATTCTCGGCCGGTTCCGAAGGGTGTCAAGGTTGTCTCTGCTGACATGTTCTTCATTAAGAGCATCATGGTTCCCCCAACAAGTATCGCCCGGCTGCCCCTCAAGGCCCCGGTGAGATTATGGAGGCTATGCAGAACACCCCCTTCAACAATGTTCTCAAGCAGTGCGATCTCATTAACCAGATCTCCAAGGAGATTCAAAATGAGGATGAGAAGGCTCTTTCTCGCGTGCGCAACTACGGCGATCTTCTCCAAGCTATCGTTACGCTTCAAGACCAAGTCAACGGTCTCATTGATCGAGAGCGTACTTCCGTGACTGGCTCCGCCATCGCCTCTCTGCCAAACGGTATCAAGCAAATTCTGGAAAAGAAGGAGGGTTTGTTCCGAAAGAACATGATGGGAAAGCGTGTCAATTTCGCTGCTCGTTCCGTCATTTCTCCTGATCCCAATCTTGAAACAAATGAGATCGGTGTGCCCATGGTGTTTGCCAAGAAGCTGACATTCCCTGAGCCTGTTACCAACCACAACTTCTGGGAGATGAAAGAGGCTGTGATCAATGGTCCTGACAAGTACCCCGGTGCTTCCGCGATTGAGAATGAAAACGGCCAAGTCGTCAACTTGAAGTTCAAGAGTCTTGACGAGCGTACTGCTCTTGCAAACCAACTGCTTGCCCCGTCGAACTGGCGTCTCAAGGGCTCGCGCAACAAGAAGGTCTACCGCCATCTTACTAATGGAGATATGGTTTTGCTGAACAGACAGCCGACTCTGCACAAGCCCAGGTTTGTGGCCTTTCGATTTCTATCTATTTTCCTAGCTAACCTCTTCACAGTATGATGGGTCACAAGGCTCGTGTTCTCCCTAATGAACGGACCATTCGCATGCACTACGCCAACTGTAACACCTACAATGCCGATTTCGACGGTGACGAGATGAACATGCACTTTCCCCAAAACGAGCTCGCTCAGGCCGAGGCCAGAACATTGGCAGACGCCGATCACCAGTATCTGGTCGCCACCTCTGGAAAGCCGCTGAGAGGTCTGATCCAAGATCATATTTCGATGGCTGTCTGGTTTACGTGCCGTGATAGTTTCTTCGACAAGGAGGATTACGACCAATTGCTCTACAACTGCATTCGTCCCGAACATTCCCATATCCAAGGCGACCGTATCCAAACAGTTGAGCCCGCTTTCCTCAAGCCCAAGCCGATGTGGACTGGCAAGCAGATCGTCACAACGATTCTCAAGAATATCAAGCCCGCGGATCGTGCCGGACTTACCCTCAAGGGCAAGTCTTCCACCCCTGGTGATCGCTGGGGCAAGGACAACGAAGAAGGCACCGTCATTTTCAAAGACGGAGAATATCTCTGCGGTATTCTTGATAAGAAGCAACTTGGTCCGACTGCTGGAGGTCTTGTCGACGCTGTTCACGAGATCTACGGCCACATTGTTGCTGGAAAGCTGCTCAGTATTCTTGGACGTCTGCTTACTCGTTTCCTGAACATGCGTGCGTTCACTTGTGGTATTGATGATCTTCGATTGACCAAGGAGGGTGATCGCGCACGCAAGGAGAAGTTGAAGACTGCCCCCGAAATGGGTCGGGAGGTTGCTCTGAAGTATGTTACTCTCGACCAGGCGAACGTTCCTGATGAAGATGCCGAGTTGAACAGGCGACTGGAGGATGTTCTCCGCGATGATGACAAGCAGGGTGGGCTGGATAGCGTTTCCAACGCCCGATCCGCCAAGCTGTCCTCAGAAATCACCGCGGCCTGTTTGCCGGGCGGTCTTGCCAAGCCTTTCCCCTGGAACCAAATGCAGTCGATGACCATCACCGGAGCTAAGGGTTCGGGCGTTAACGCCAACCTGATTTCTTGTAACCTGGGTCAACAGGTTTTGGAAGGTCGTCGTGTCCCTGTTATGATCAGTGGAAAGACTCTTCCTTCTTTCCGAGCCTTTGAGACTCATCCCATGGCTGGTGGTTACGTCTCTGGTCGTTTCTTGACTGGTATCAAGCCTCAAGAGTACTATTTCCACGCCATGGCCGGTCGTGAGGGTCTTATTGATACTGCCGTCAAGACTTCCCGTTCCGGTTACCTACAACGTTGCTTGATTAAGGGTATGGAGGGCTTGAAGGCTGAGTACGATTCTTCCGTTCGTGAGGCTTCGGATGGCTCGATCGTTCAATTCCTGTACGGAGAGGATGGTCTTGATATCACGAAGCAAGTCCACCTTAATGATTTCGGATTCCTCGCCCAAAACCATGTCTCCATCTCGAAGCAAGTACAGGCCGATGATTTCCATAGCCTTTCCAAGGAAGACGTTACCGCCTACAAGGATTCGATCAAGAAGGCCCGCAAGACCGGGAATCTTGATTCTATGGATCCCATTCTGTCTCACTATCACCCCGGTGGTAACTTGGGCAGTACCTCTGAAGCCTTCGCCCAAGCACTCAAGAAGGTAGGCGCTTTCTTCCCTCTCAATTGTCGCTTTTATATGATCTTCTGACTGACACACACTTTTACAGTACACCGATGATAATCCGGACGGCCTCTTCAAGGATAAGAAGAAGGATATTGCGGGTTCCGTTGGAAAGAAGACCTTTGATGTTCTGATGAACATGAAGTACATGAAGTCCACCATCGACCCCGGTGAGGCTGTCGGTGTCATGGCCGGTCAGTCCGTCGGTGAACCCTCGACACAGATGACCCTGAACACTTTCCATTTGGCTGGTCACTCCGCAAAGAATGTCACACTGGGTATTCCTCGACTGCGTGAAATTGTCATGACGGCAAGTGCTAACATCATGACCCCCACCATGACCATGCTGTTGAACGAGGAGATCAGCAAGGAAGATTCGGAGAAGTTTGCCAAGGCCATAAGTAAGCTCAGCGTCGCCGAGGTCGTTGACAAGGTGCAAGTTAGGGAGCGAATTGGTTCTGGCGTGGGCTACGCCAAGGCCAAGATCTATGACATTGAGCTCACCTTCTTCCCGGCCGAGGAGTACTGCAAGGAGTATGCTATCCGAACCAAGGACGTGCAGAACGGCTTGCAAGCCAAGTTCATTCCTCGCCTGATCAAGCTCACCAGGGCTGAGCTGAAGAAGCGTAACGAGGACAAGACTGGTCAGAAGGCTTCCACCTCCCAACCTGAGATTGGTGTTTCCATTGGCCGAGTTCCCGAAGGTCCCAGTGGACCGGATCGCGAGGCTCAACCAGGCGACGACGACGACGAGGATGATGAGGATGATGCCAAGCGCGCCAGCGGAAACTCGAACAAGAGTAACCAGATCTCCTATGAGGCACCCGACGATGACGAGCAAGACATCATGAACCGTCAAGACACCCCCGATGAAGATGAAGAGACAGAAAACCAACCCCGCACCGCTGGTGATGTCGACATGGATAGCGACTCCGACGAGGAATCAGACGACGACAGCAACACGCGCGAGGACGACGTCAAGGGCAAGTTCGTTGAGGTTACCAAGTTCAAGTTCGACCCTAAGAAGGGTGGCTCTTGCACTATCCAACTGCAATACGATATCGAGACCCCTGAAGCTTCTGCTCCTGCCCCTCGTAGAGCAGGCTTGCCACAACGCCGTGATCCAGTCTATTCCCAACCTGGGTAACTGTGTCTTCGTTGAGGCCGACGACATCAAGGGTGACCCTGCCAACATCCTCACCGATGGTGTGAACTTGCTCGCCATGCGCGACTACCAAGACATCATCAAGCCTCACTCGCTCTACTGTAACTCCATCCACGACATGCTGAACCTTTACGGTGTTGAGGCCGCCCGTGCCACCATCATCCGCGAAATGGACGCCGTTTTCAAGGGTCACAGTATCTCCGTCGACAACCGCCATCTGAACTTGATCGGTGATGTGATGACCCAGTCCGGTGGCTTCAAGGCCTTCAGCCGTAATGGTCTGGTCAAGGACTCCACCTCGCCCTTCTCTCGGATGTCTTTCGAAACTACTGTTGGTGCTCTGAAGGATGCCGTTCTCGAGAGAGATTGGGACGATCTCAAGGGCCCGAGTAGTAGAATAGTTGTCGGTCGTGCCGGTACTGTTGGTACTGGTGCCTTCGATGTTCTCGCCCCTGTAGCATAGTCGCCTTGTTGCCCCGGAGTTACTTTTTCTCATCATGGTTCCCCTTGTCTCCTATTAGATGTGTATTCCGATTTTGCGATTTTACAGTTCTTTTTTGCGTTTTCTTTTCCTTTGCTATCTATCTTGATGTGTTGATGATATGGAGTTTTCTGTCCAGCGGAACACAAAAGTCCCATTCCCTGTTCATATAGCATTTGAGTCAAAAATAAAATTCTACTTATTAATTTATTGACAAATCGTAGTATGTTTTGTTTTCAACTAGCAAGTCGAGGGGGTCAGTCAAGGTTGGAAGCTACTACTAGGCCACCGAGACCTTTATAAGATAGTGAACTAGATCGAAAATTAGGAAATAACATCATGTCATAATAGTACTTTTGAGTCATTCCAAACGTCTATCATCTATTTACTTCACACATTCAAACATATACAAAGTTGTTACGGCACAATGGGCAAGTGCTCTGGTTGCTGCTCTTGAACCAGCGGAACAAGCAGACCGAGTGGAAAGTGTTCTTGCAGGTAGCACAACGCTTGTTGGGGGTCTGCATATCGGTTGAAATGACCGAATAACAGATAGCACACTCGCTCTGACCCTTCAGAGCACCTTGCACATTCCGCCGGAAAGCAAGCAGGCCATCAACTAGATTACCATTGGCAAACATAATGACTCCCTGGATGGTGAGAAGCCAGCTCTTCCACTTCTTCTCGTCGACAAGAACTCGGCTGCGCCCGACCACGATTGCTGGATGCAACGGGTATGCCGGAGGAAGGGAGATCGAGATGGAGACGGGAGGAGATTCCTCATCTACTGGGATGCTGGCGATGATCTCGGCTGTCTTGGGAGAGATCTTAACAGTCAAAGCACGCTCCTCATTCGGATCTTGAGTGGCAGCCCAGTCTTCGACGCCCTTCATGGAGTCTCCGGCTACAACAGGTGAGATCTACTCACGATGTTAGCGATTATTACTTTTGGTAGCGAGTCGGTTTCTAGCTTGTGAAAACTCACGTATCTTTCCGTCCACCCTTCTACTGGACCTTTGACACGCTTCTTGGTATCAATCCACCAGTTCTTAGTCATGTTGGCAAGATGTCTGAGACAAAGGTAGTAGAGATGCACCAAGAGCCACTGAGTCTCCTTCTCCGCATTCTCGGACTCATCGGGCTGGAACGATTGTATATCGAACTTGGTCGGGTCGATGATTTTGCCATGCGCTTTCTGAAGGAAGTCAAACGTAAACTCCAATAATGGAACCAAGACGTTGTTTTCCTTGATGTTTGCGGCATAGTATTCTTGAACGGGGAGCGACTGGAGAATATTAGCAGAGTTCGGACTTAAAGATGTATTGAGAGCTTACAGCATTGGAGAAATGATCGAAAATCACCTTCCAGCTTAGGAGATACGCCCTCAAACTAGTCCACATCTTATCATCGCCGTATGACATGTTCACCATTTGCATGGTGGGTGTTTCGAGTAGAAGAGATACAAGCTCATCGGGCAGGCTGACTGCGGACTTAGACAAGGCCACGTCGAAGGATACTTGCTCTTGAGCATGTGGGATATAACGGTGGAGGAGGGTATAAGCGGTGCGCTGCACAGCACGACTATGAGCAGTCAGAAGAGAGAAGACTTCGCTGACATCATCCAACTTTTCAATAGGAATGAAGTTAATCAAGCGTCGCAGAAGATCGACAGCGACGTCCCGTGGTTGATGATAGGTAGTTGAAGCGTCTGCTATAAGTAAGCCGCTGTGCACAAATTGAAAAGAATGATAAAATCAGGGGAGGTATCCTTACCGAACTTCCCGACAGAAGAAGCCAACTCATTGAAAAGTCCAACGCGTCGTTCAAGCCAAACATCTTGAAGATCATCGTTGCTTTCACCATCTGTCATAGACTTTAGACTAGAGAACAGTCTGAAGGACGCTACTAGCAGCGGAAGGCCCACTTCGCCCCCACTGATGTCCTTGAGCACAGTGCTCAAAACGGCCATGCTGTCTTCCCAGTGTGACCCATAGATCTCAGAAAGAGCTGGAAGCACAAATGATAATGTTTTGATAATCTCAGCGCTCAGACCAAGAGGTTGCAGTCCGGACTGAAGACACTCAATAAGCGGCTTCGTGAGAAAGACGAGTCGTTGCGTGGGGATTGTTGAAACAACGTTCTCCTCCCCAGATAGTAGGATATTAAGCAGTGCAAGTTTGCGGAGTCCTAATACTTGTTAATATGGTATCACAAACTATGAGTTGTCTAGAAACTTACCATCTGGAAAAGAACTTTGCGGTTTCAGCCCAGAGGAGTCAGCAACCAGCTCGTTGCAGATTCGATTTCCGATAGGATTTGACAAGATAGAGCTTCGAAGCACAATGAACCAGGAGGCCGACCGAATGGCATTAGCGGTGCGAGCACTTCTGCAAATTGTCGCGACATCATCGGCTGACTTGGATGCTGCCAGTGTCTCGACGGAGCCCATGATCTTGACAAAAGCCTCTCCAACGCGGTAGTCGAGGGGAGAAGTTCCTCCTAGTCCCTCGAGTTTGCTTTCCCAGAAGGCGAGTAGAGACGAAGAAACCGTTGATTGAGGCGCGTATCTGGTGTTATCCTCAGCGTGAATCCAGTCGCTGATTACTCTGCGTCCCTTGAAGACAATTTCAACATAGTCATCGCGCTGATCTGCCAACTCCAGGCCCAAGATTCCATTGGAGTTTTCGATACTCAGATCGTCATCAATCAGCTGCACGGCCAATGGGATGAAATAAAAGAGGGTTTCAAAGGCTTCTTTGTCCATGTGTTCATTCAGGTGTGTTGAGGCCAAAATCCTGATAGTGAAACTGGCGAGCCGGAACGCGGCGGAACTATGAGACGAGTCACGCGCGATACTGAGCCTTAAATCCTTGAATGAATCAGTCAGATCGTGCTGGATTAAATGAACAGCGCCAGCCAGTGGACTAGTAATTGCGGTAGAGGGACGCGGAGGTAGCTGGAGGAAGGGAGCCATAGCCGTCTCCCAAGTAGACGCAGAGGGTAAGATGTTTTTGAGACTGTATGTTGTTTCTTCTTTCGTTGCCAGGCCAGGAAGCAGCTCCTCAGCGATAGAAACGAGGGAATCAATTCTGTTTCCACATTAGTGAACAAGCTCGAAAAAGGGTTGGGATTTTACCCACGTTAGAGATTCTTCGCTTGCGTGAGAGAATCCATGTTGGAGGATCTCAATCTTAGACTTGGTGCTCGTATCACCAACAACGGTTTCCTTGAAATTCCTCATCAAAGACTCAGCCAAGACGGCCACCTCCTCCGAAGGAGACTCGGTGAGATACAACAGTTTTCCTGTTAACTTGGAGCCATTAGATCCACCCTGGAATTCGCGCACGGCAGCGGGAACGGTCTTTCCAAGGTGAGAGAGCCCGTGGAGGGCGTCGAAGACCCTATCCTCCGTAGACAATGACTCAATAATTGACATGAAGACTTGATCCATCAATGCCTCCCATGAAGTATGATTCCGGAGAACTGCAGTTACAATCGGCCAGTGTGGCGCACTGCCTCTGCAGGCTTTATCTAGAGCTCGCATCACGAGCGAAGAGAGCTTAGCTTGATATTCGACTTCGTTGAAATCGATCGTCGATAGAAGGCTTTGAAGGACATGGGCATTCGATTGTTCCGGGTCCAATTCCAGAGCTCGCTCGACGACAACTTCGAAACAAGAAGAGAATCCTTCCCATTGCCGACATGCCAGAATGATTGTAATCAGACGATCGCCGGAGGGCGAGAACAGAAGCTCGGGTGCATCCATCTTGAGGAAACTTAGAAGTTCCTGAGACTGTTTTGCGATAGAAGGCACTCTGCGAACGCACTCTTCTACAACCCCGGCGGCACCATAAGGCTTTCCGTTTCGGGAGCGTAGAACCTGCAGACAGTTGTCCAGAAGGGACATATTGGCCTTTTCAAAAATCTCTTTAAGCCGACACGCCTCCGTTGCTCGCGATATGACTGAAGGTTCCAATACAAAAAGGCGCTTCGATTGTTCGCAGATCGAATCTTGAGATGAGCGGAAGTCCTTCGACTGCTCTGGAGATGATAGCTTAACTGCTTCAAGAAGCCCGTTCGACAGACTTGACCATAGTAGCTCTATTTCTTGATATTGGTCATGAGCAACAAGAGCCAAAAGATAGTCGATACAAATATGTTCGGTGGACTGGGTGGGGAGCGACCACTGAGTCAGTTCGGGATCAGGTTGCACATAATGTGTCACCAAGGGGGAAAGTCGCTTTTGGATGAGTTCAGGACGTTGCTCCTCTGGCAAGAGATTTACAAGCCAGAGACTGATCTCAATGTAGGATTTCCACCCACTGAAAAGGTTTTGACGGGGCTCTTCTCTCGAGTTGAGGCCTTCTTGGAAAGTTTCTGTTAGAACAATGACAGTCGAGAGTTTGATTTTCTCATCGGTAGATGCTTTGTCGGCTCCACCAAGGACCTCCTGGGGAATCTTCCGGAGTAGCTCGTCAAGATTTGACCAAAATTTCCCAGTGCCACCTTGTGACCCCTTCTGAATATATTGACGGAGCCTCTTTGAAGACGAAGTCTTTCCCGTATAGTCCTCTGTCCATGCCTGGGGCCTTAAAGAGGTCAAGAGAAGAAGGGTCTCAGATAGCTCGGAAGCCGAGCCGAGCTGTGAGATGGATAAGGATTTCCCCACGATGGCTGAACTGAGGAGCTTCCAATCCACCCATCCGGGCTGCCTGGATACCGCAGTTCGCAGGAGAATATATATGGATCTGCGAACGAATGGATCATCATGGTTACAGAACCCCCATAAATCCTTGCTACTAAGCAAAGTTTCGATTTCTGAGAGGTTCTTTTGAAGATCCTCGTCTTCCGAGTCACCTGTTCAAATGTGAGATTTGGGTATGTCATGAGAGGAAGAGGAGAGTAGTGAGCGACGATACCTAAAATGCGATTGAAAAGAAGCAGTCCAGCTCCCACTACTCGCGCGTGTTTCGCTTCTGCGTCATCCCGCTTGACAGTCCTCTCATCGCTCAAGGTCAGGGGTGATTGATGGAGGAGAACGTCATCTACGAAATCCAGAATGGAACTTTGATAGATCTTCCAAACATTGTTTCGTTTATCCTGAGTCGAGAAGACACTGATAAACGATTCCAGGGCGGCGCGGTGAACCGGCTTGTCATTATCGTAGAGACCAGCCAGCCAAGCGCCAATAACCTTGGGCAGATGAGGTGCAATTCTCTTTCCAACAAGACCAGAGATGGAGCCCTGAAGTGTATGAGATATTTGGCGGACTCGTCGAGAGAGATCAATCGACAACCTTGGGTATATTTTAACCTAAACTCGGTTATTAGTTCGTGTTGTGATGTATATACCGGAATTCCACATACCCATGCTTCTAAAAAGCCATCATCAAGAGTTCCTTTCTTCGAATCCACGGAGAAGACATGTTCTTTGAGCTCTTCCAAAGCCTTCGTCCGTGTAATATCATCTTTCTTCAACAAATTCTTGAAAGAAATGACTAGTGTCTGCTCGGAAATACGAGACAGATCTGGCGGTTCGGCGATGTATGTAAGAGCCGACGGCTCTCGTCCATCACTCCCAAAATTGTTCGAGAAACCTCCAAAGGACCCGAAGGCGCCGGCAGCAGCGCGACTGCTGGAGGCCTGCGATTTGAACTTTTTGCTCATGTGGGGTATGAGGTCAGCGGGAATGGTGGGGGGAGACTCGAGAGATAGCGCCGGTGCGACACCAGCAAAATGGCAATTGACCCTGGAATGACTCGGCAGGGGTTTGAAGACAATTCACACCAAAAGCCAAGGGGATATTGGAGATCACAATCGAAGTTGAAGAACAAAAGAAAGCGAACTTGAGAAGTATGGGTTAAGCTGATTGGAATATCCCGCGGGCGGCCACCCGATTGGTAAGTCACATGATGATTGGTCATTGCTGTCCCAAACGGGAAATCATCCAGACCGGAGCTGCGGCCTGGACGAAGGTCATCTTTCTTTCCTTCGTGCTTTTCCGGGTGTGCGTGCAGCTTGGGAACATCCGCCAACATGAAGTTCTTCATTGAGTATTACCTCCCCCCATTACACTCCTAGCCCTCGCCTCTTCCTCCTTCCCTTCTAACCGGTGTTTCTTTCAATTAGTGATCTTCCGGTGCTGTTCCCGTACCCTCGCATCTACCCCGAACAATATGCCTACATGTGTGATCTCAAAAAGACCCTCGATGCCGGGGGTCACTGTGTGCTGGAGATGCCTTCGGGAACAGGAAAGACGGTCTCGCTTCTGTCGTTGATCGTCGCCTACCAGCAGCATTACCCGGAACACAGGAAACTCATCTACTGCTCGCGAACCATGTCCGAGATTGAGAAAGCACTAGCAGAGTTGAGGGAGTTGATGAAACACAGAACCCAGGAACTCGGGTACGAGGAGGAATTCCGCGCGCTTGGGTTGACTAGTCGAAAGAACCTGTGCCTGCATCCTTCCGTGAAGCGAGAGAAGAGTGGCACCGTCGTCGACGCGAGGTGCAGGAGTCTGACAGCTGGTTTTGTCAAGGAAAAGAAGGAGCGCGGCGAGGATGTAGATCTCTGCGTCTATCACGATGTATGTCCTGACACCCTTCGCGATGCCTGTGGGTTTTATTCTAACAAGCGCAGAACCTCGATCTGCTCGAACCGCACAATCTTCTTCCGCCAGGCGTGTTCACCCTCGACGCTCTACTAAAGTACGGAGAAGAACACAAGCAATGCCCATACTTCTCTGCTCGGCGAATGGTTTGTTTCCTTCGATGACCTCATACCGTTGCTTTGGTGCTAATGCGACCATTTAGATGCCCTGGTGCAACATCATCATCTACTCCTATCACTACTTGCTTGACCCCAAAATTGCCGAGCGAGTTTCCAAAGAACTTTCGAAGGATTGCATTGTTGTTTTCGACGAGGCACACAATATCGACAACGTTTGTATCGAGTCACTCAGCCTCGATCTTAGCGAAGATTCCCTCCGCAAAGCCACCCGAGGCGCAAGCAATCTGGAACGCAAGATTGAAGAAATGAAGAGCACGGATGCCGAAAAACTGCAGAGTGAATACTCAAAGCTTGTCGAGGGGTTACAGCAGGCGGAACAGGCTCGGGAGGAGGACCAATTCATCTCGAACCCCGTCTTGCCGGACGACTTGCTGAAGGAGGCAGTACCGGGAAACATTCGCCGTGCGGAACATTTCATCTCCTTTTTGAAGAGATTCATTGAATATCTGAAAACCCGGATGAAAGTGACCCATACTATCTCAGAGACACCTCCTTCCTTCCTCACACATTTAAAAGATCTCACCTACATCGAGCGCAAGCCTTTAAGATTCTGCGCTGAACGGTTGACCTCACTTGTGCGAACTCTGGAACTGGTGAATATCGAAGATTATCAACCACTCCAGGAAGTCGCAACGTTTGCAACCCTAGTCGCGACCTATGACAAGGGGTTTGTTCTCATTCTCGAACCGTTCGAGTCCGAAGCCGCCACCGTTCCGAACCCCATCCTGCATTTCACCTGTTTGGATGCTGCTATTGCGATAAAGCCGGTATTTGATCGTTTCAGCTCCGTTATCATCACCTCAGGGACACTGTCGCCATTGGAAATGTACCCCAAAATGCTAGGGTTCACCGCCGTCATGCAAGAATCTTATAGTATGACACTAGCAAGGAGGTCTTTCCTACCCATGATCGTCACACGTGGCTCCGACCAGGCTCAAGTCTCATCGTCCTTTGGTATTCGCAATGATCCAGGTGTGGTTCGCAACTATGGTACTCTGGTGACGGAGTTCGCTCGCGTTACCCCTGATGGTGTTGTAGTATTCTTCCCTTCCTATCTTTATATGGAGTCCATCATTAGTATGTGGCAGGGTATGGGTATCCTGGACCAGATCTGGAACTACAAGTTGATTCTAGTGGAGACGCCTGATGCACAAGAGTCTTCCCTCGCCTTGGAGACCTACCGAACGGCTTGTGGCAATGGTCGTGGCGCAATCTTGTTCTGTGTCGCACGAGGAAAGGTGTCTGAAGGTATTGATTTCGATCATCATTACGGTCGCGCGGTGCTGTGCATCGGCGTGCCATTCCAATACACCGAATCTCGAATTCTCAAAGCCCGTCTTGAATTTTTGCGAGAGAATTATCGCATTCGGGAGAACGACTTCTTGTCATTCGACGCTATGCGCCACGCTGCTCAGTGCCTAGGCCGTGTACTGCGTGGAAAGGATGACTACGGAGTGATGGTGCTAGCAGACCGGCGATTCGAGCGGAAACGGCCCCAGCTTCCGAAATGGATTAACCAAGCCATGTTGGATAGCGAGACCAATCTCAGCACCGATATGGCTGTCTCTACTGCCAAGAGCTTCCTGCGCACCATGGCCCAACCTTTCAAAGCCAAAGACCAGGAAGGAATTTCAACATGGAGTTTGGCTGACATTGAGCGTCACGAGGCGAAGCGTAAGACGGAAGAGGAGCGTCTCACGAGGGAGGAGCTCAGCAATGGAAATCATAAGATGGATAGTTTCCGAACCTCCGCGGTTGAGGTCGTTGATGATGAGTTCGACGATGACATCGATCAAGACATGATGATGCTTGATGCGCAGTAGTTGGGTCGGATCTCGTTTTGCTTTCGTACTCATTTTCTTGGTATACACTGGCGATTCAGGGCTCGGTCTGGAAATCAGGGGCGTTTTATGAATCGGGCATGAAAAACAACATAGCATGGAAGGTGTTTTGGACAAAAATTGTCATTTTATTACTGAGAGCTCCGCAATAATTAGTGGAATTTCTGCACGACAGATCCCAAATCTCTCGCAGGTCTCAGTTAAATAAAACCACAATCAAACAATAAAAATTATTATCAGAATGAATCCATAGCATGAAAGGTGTGGGAGAGGATTCGGAATAACAAAACTAACTGTTATATACATAAGCACCGACCAGGATAGATAAAGCCCCGATGATTCCAGCCCAACGGACGAGCCCACGCTGGACGTGATACTTGGCGGTTTCTTCAATTGCTTGCGAGTCGTTAAATTTTGGAAATGGAATATCCTTAGGAACTTTCTTTCCAAGAGCTTTGCAAAGGGGCTCCCACCCGTCCTTGACATTGACGAAGAACAGACGATCCTCTGGAACGTTCTCCTTAAGCCAGGCAATATGGCGATTATACGTGTCCACGCCATGTTCATGGGGCTTGGTAAAGTAGAGTTTCTCCCATTGAACAGATAAGAGATCGGCATAAGCTGGAAAGTGTCGCATTTCTGGAAGAGGGAGTAAAACGGCGCGAAGAAACCACATCAGAGCAAGATTCCGAATTTGGGCTAAACTCTTCGTCCAAGCTTCCGGGTCTCGAACGGTGCAGATCACTTTAGCGTCGGGGTAGATCTCTAGAATTTCAGGGACTAGCTGTGCAGCAGGTGTGTCAGTGACTGCACTATAACCATCCAGTCGTTGGCGTAGCAGGTCTTTCATGGCTGGTCGGTCCTTGGGATCTCCGTTGTTCCAGTATTGTAGGATTTTTATCCATGATGCGATCTCGATTGGTGATCCCATTGAGATTTGCGTTCCTCCATGGTAGGAGGGGCCGTCGAGAAGAATTTCTAGAGCGGCGTTGAATGAGGATGTTCCGGTGCGTGGGAGGCCCGCTCCGATGACTTGGAGCTCGGTGCCTGGCTTGGGGACAGATACGTTCTGGCCCATGGTGAAAGAATGTATTGAGATTGGTATCTACTAAGTGGAGATAATAGAGATGTCTTTGTTCCAAACATGGAAGATATACGGAGTAGACAACTCGGAAGATATACGTGACGCGTAAAGGTTTAGCCCCCAAACTAGCCACGGTCAGCCCTCGAGCCAAATGGGGCTCCATGCGGCGGCGAGTCGCACTTGGCTACCCTCTTGAATGACCGTCTTACTAGATGGTGAGATTATAACTGCTAATTAAAGGTCTCCCTCGATACGATGCAGATGATGGAGGGCAGACCACCTAAAATGATGATTTTTGGACTTGTTGGTAGCATTGTTTTTTCTTGGCCCGCTTGCATCTTGCCTCTTGTACCTAAGAACCAAGCTTCGACCAGTCTAACCGAAAGATTATTGGACCAACTTTTGGCCCCGTGGAGAAGCTACGTTGGTGTCCCTAATTGAGCAAAGTGACTGCCTATCCGTACGGCGCTCTAAAAGCACAGGGTCGGTAGTTGTATATAAGGGTATTTTTCCTGACCGTCTAAAATTACCGGTGTTTTATATACAAATTTGGACAAAAATACAGTACTACCGCAAAAGTTTCTACTTCCTAATTATCTACCATTATTGACCGTACTACGCATGACCGACTTTGCATGTCTGAGGGACCTTTATAACCTTGGGATCCATTCGGAGGAGGCAAAATGGGTCCTTCGTTAGCTTAAATGCATATAACGTAATCCACGGCCGGTCGGGACACACGGCTGGTCGGGACACCCACTCCAAAATCGCGTATTCCTACCACCCTACCTAATTCAACCGCCTACTATGCCACCAATTCGCACTGAATCTTCGCAGAAATTGGTCAATCAGGAGGGCAAGGTCCTATTAGCCCTTGAAGATATTAAAAATGGCCGTATCAAATCTATTCGCGCAGCAGCGAAGCTATACGACCTACCTCGTTCTACACTACACGCGCGCGCATGGAAGATCCTCATACGTCGATAAACGCCTATTAGGTCATAAACTGATACAATACGAAGAGGATTCGCTTACTGAATAGATCCTCTCTATGGATTTGCGTAGAGCAGCGCCTAGGCCCTCTACTGTTCGAGAGATGGCCAATATCCTTCTTGCAGTGCGTGGAACTACACCCTCAATAACTGTTGGCGTTAATTGGGCATCAACATTCGTTAAACGGCGCAATGAGCTTTGATTGCGCTTCTCTAAGCGATATGATTATCAGTGTGCTCTTAATAAGGATCTAAAGGCTATAAAAGAGTGGTTTTTAATGATACAACGCGTAATTGAGGAGAATGGTATCTAACCAGAGGATATCTATAACTTTGATGAGATT